GCTGTTGCTGTTGCTGTTGTTATTGCTTTATTGTTGCATATTGTTGCATGTTGTTGCGTTGTTGTTGTTGTTGTTGTTGTTGTTGTTGTTGTTGTTGCTGCTGTTGTTGTTGCTGCTGTTGCGGTTTCTGTTGCTGTTGCTGTTGCTGTTGGTGTTGGTGTTGCTGTTGCTGTTGCTGTTGGTGTTGTTGTTGTTGTTGCTGTTGCTGTTGCTGTTGCTGTTGCTGTTGCTGTTGCTGTTGCTGTTGTTGTTGTTGTTGTTGTTGTTGTTCGCAGCATTCATGAGGTTGACGGAAGCAGCTGGCACAGCCATTTGTTGTGATTATGGTCACCAGGTTTTGCGAGATATTGTGAGGGATGCGACCGTTAACTCCTGCCTTGGTAAGCCTCGAGCCTCAGGATAGCAAAGCTAGTAGAAGGGTATGCCGAGAAACAGCTGCCAGACAAGAACTGGGCAAGCCTGTATTTTCGCCTTGTAGTAGAGTACTTAGTAGAGTCTGCAATAATGCAGGTCAGATGCAATTTTTTGCATCCTTGGGACATCCGGTGATGGCAATGTCGTTGCGTGGGTGTGGCTTGAGCGACAAGCCACTGGAGGCGGAGATGTATGATCTGGAGACGTGTCTTGTTGCTGACATGCGCGCTGGACTGGACTATGCACTTCAACTTGCATGAAGCCGCCTGCATCTTCTGCACACCATAACTAGCAGAGTCAAACCATTGCCGGGTGCGACCCTGCAGCTTAGGTCAGGCAAACGTGCGGCCAGCAGCCAGTGTTGGTTGCCCACGGTGTGGGTGCGCTGATTGGCTGGCGACTGTTGACCCTCACCGCAGATGCTCCCGAAGTGGCTGGATTCGTATCCCTCTCTATGCCCCCGTTGGAAGCCTGCGCACGTGGATTGCGCAGCCTGTCGCAGCTGTATAGCTGGCTCTACATCCTAGCTTTCAGTATGCCAAAGCTGCCAGAAGCCTTGCTCACCTTTCAGAGCCTTGACTACTCTCAGCCTCGAAGCGTAAAGAAGAACGAAGTGGAAATGCCCTTCTGCCCTTCGTGCTGCCCTTCCAGGAATGCATTCCTTGGAGCGGTGCTGCTAAATGATTTAGAGCACCCTGGGCACAATGGAGGCATTCCGCAATATGCACTGATATGGACGGAGGTTTTTGGCAGACTGATGCAGAATGTCTCCAAGGGATGCTGAGCTGAGGCGAGCACAGGTGAGACCTGAGCTCCTGCACCTTTCCCGCGCAAATCTTCTGCAGCCTCGCGCTGCAAGAGGACATCTGAACTACTACAGAATGTACCTTGCTTGCTTGTCTCTCAATGCATGCACATGCAACTGTCATCAGCCATCAGCAAGCCAAGCTGAACTCTTTTGTTTTTGACAGGTTGGTGCGGAAGATGATGGGCTCTGTTCTAAATGGCAGAGACACCTATTGGAGCGAGCTCTTGCGTGGCCAGTCTGAGCACAAGGAGGCGTTCGGGGCAGTAGCTCCCTATAAAGCATTGCACGAGTTTGTATTACCCTGAAGGTTTTGGGCTCCCATCACAAGCTCAAATTGCCGGTGCTAATCCTCAAGGGGTCGCATGACCACATCTGCAAAGAGGGCCTTTTCGCCGATCTTGCTGACTATTTAGAAAACTACCGTTTCGTCGTGATTGAGCCGTGTTCTCATCGAGTACATTTAGATGCAATGGCGGAGGTGAACACCGAGATTAGCCAATGGCTGCAGTGTCTTTGAGGTGGGATCGCCTGGTGACTGTCACTGGCGTGGAGCGACATGGTGACATGCTTCCAGTGTGGATCGACTCGAATGCCTTTGCGGGTTGCCAAAGAGCAAGGTCACGAACGCCATCATTTCCAGTCTGAGTCGAATCGTGTCGATGGTTTGAAATCTGTTATCGGGTCCCCGTTGGGTCAGAGTCAGAGGGATGCAGTTGTTGAGCACGACAAAGTCGTCAGTAGGTTGTTGACTGCTGGCAGCTCGGATGCACTACGGCTCATCCAGAAGGCGAGAAATCAATATTTGGTGCCGCAAGCAGGCTTTCCCGCTGAGCTGCTGGAGTGTGCCAGGTTTAGTGCAGCAAAAGTTTGCCATGTCTATTTCACAGTTCCGTTCCAGATTGAGACATCGGCGGACAAGGAGCTGTGGTAGGCTGCCACGACAGCCAAGGGTACAGTGTTGTGATTTGCACTTCGACCGTGATTCGCGTTTCGCCCTACTGTGCAATGTCTTGAGGCTTCCAGGGGCGTGGCAAGAGGTCCGGCTTCTAGAGCAGGCTCGAATGCACAGAATGAGCACGCTCTTGCTTACCACCCGCTGTCAATCCCCGCGAAGGACCGCGGTGCTGCGCGTGCTGTCGCTACATACACTGGCGCTGCACGTCTTGGCACTGCGTGCCTCGTCAATTCATCGACACTTGTGGCACATCCTTTGTACACGTTTTGTGGACCATGGCTTGCCGAAGAGCATCCGGCCTCACCCTTACCGGTTCTTCTGAAGCAGCATTGCGGCTGTGCAGGGTACCTGGCCCCGTGACGGTCCTCGGATCCCGCGAAGTGCCCTGCCACAGATCGTGCGATGGCACATGCTGCAACCGAAGATGACGTAACAATGCCTGGCTGTGCCAAGTACTTAGGTAGCTGCGACTCCGCAGACACAGGTTGCAACTCAGGAGTGTTGTGCTAAAGTCAACAATGCGAGACTTCAAGTCTAGTCATGTCTGGCCCCTTGCTGCGGATGGCCAGTCACTTCCTGTTGTTTGCTCCCTTCCCTGACGAAACAGAAGAAGGCCAAAGCTCTCATTCTCATGCAGCTTGCTTGCAGTTGCCGAACTGCTGTCAAGTGCATGCTCGAGAGCGCGGCAGCCTTCGACACCCAGAAACTCTGCGCACTCTTCAAGCAAGCCTCTGAGCCGGTAGGACTTGTCTGCGATCACCACCTCGCGTTCACTGGAAGCGGTCTCTTGTGCCAACTGTGGAAACATCTACATGTTTCTTGGTTGCAGCAAGGCCAAGCGGTTTGGTTCAAAGAGCTCTTTGTTTGGGCAAAGGTCGGATTCCAACTTCTGCCGGAAGTGTGGCCTTCCGCGACCTGGTCACGACCTCCAGGCGGGAGCCGGAGAGTCCTTACGGGCCTCCCTATCGGGCCCCCTTTGCTTTCGTTGCTTTTTGCCTTTTGCGCACTTTGAGGCCGAGCCCGTGGCATCGGCACAGTCGACGCTGCGCTTTTGCTGCGTTCAGAGAGTTTCTCCTTCTTTTACAACGGTTCTGCTCAGAACGGCCTGCGGCTTTTCCTGATTCTGTGGAGGATGACTCAGCCACTGCCCTTTCAGCCCGGAACTCATCTTTCACAGCGCTCGGTCTTATCTCCTGCTTCTGGTGGCACTGTGTGGCCATGGGCAAGTGAGGCGCTAGGCACCAGGCTGTATTCTGAGACGTGCTGCATCGCCGGTCGCGTGCTCAAGCTTTTGCACTTGGGCATGCTGCCTTCGGCTGGATGAGACAGTCCGAAGTGGCGTATTTGTACAGTAGAGTCTGCTTGCATGCTGCTTTGGCGCTTGCGACAAGCCGTGATGCCTGCAGACAGAGATTTTCAGGGCCGGTGCGAATTGTTGCGGCTCAATTTGTGTTTCACCTTGCTAATGTCCTCAATTTCTGACGTGTCCGCCTCTACTGGTGGCACCAACGCAGGTATCGGATTGCAAGCTGCGATTCGTACAGCCTCAACTTCTGGACATGGGAGGAGCTTGCCCGACGATATCGTTCCATATCGTTCCTTTATTTGATCTTAGCGCCTACGTGTCATCAAGCTTGCTGCTACATTCCGTCGGCTAGTGCATCTGTTCCAGACATGTCAAGATGGATGTATCCGTTGGCTTCGCATCGTAACTTCAGGAGCTTTTGGCCTTGGAGAAAATATGAGCGCAGATGTCGGGTTCAAATCCCGCGGACGGAGGCGCGGAAGCCCCTGACTTTGCGCGCGCTGGTTTCATTCCGTGCAGCTCGAAAAGAGCAGACAGAGCATACATGTCCCAACAGCTCAATGCGATTCCCCGAGCATCTGTGTGATGACATGGCGCACAGTGGCACTTCGCGGAAGTTCGCCGCTTTGGGTAATTTGCGAGTCAGAGTGAGACTCAGCATACAGTACCCAAAACCCCAGCCCAGCCTTCGCTCACGCAGACAGAGCAGACAGAGCAGAAAGCCTTGGCCCAGCATGGCCCTGGAAGCCGGGGCATCGACAGAGAGCTCCACGCCTACACCCAGGCTCCGATCGATCGGCTGCGCTTCTTCCTACAATCCATCCCTTTTGCAGGCTTGTGAAAGTCGAACCAGCCACCAAAGACGAGGTGGGGCACTTAGTGGTCGTAGCCGCGATCGTCTGGTCTTAGGGCGCCATGACCACTTCCAGATGTAGTTGTACCTGTCGGACGAGTTAATATAGTCATCGTACTTCCAAGCCGGTGCTTCAGCAAGCTTTCTGTCGGTGCTTCACATGTGAGTTCGTCTTCGCCGCCTAGGGCTGTAGCATGCTGTACCCATGCCGTCTGCATCGTAGGTGTGGCTTTACGTGCAGTCCGTGCTGGTCTCACCTCTCGATTAATCATGATTCCCGGTGGCACAGCCCATCTACAAGATTCCTGACTTCGTTTCACAGAGCTCTTGTTTGCGAAGCATTCGTTCCCCGTGCCCCTCACCCGGCCCACGCTTGATTGTAGACAGTTTTCATCCTGTTACTCGGTCTGTAGCGACGGTGACCAGCTTCTTGCCACCAGCATGTAACTCGGACCACAAAATGCAGCACTGCCAACACCCGGTGCCTTCTAATGCAATCCCTTTGATGCCACGATCCGTTTTGTGACTTTTAGGACAGATCGACCCTGGTGAATCTGCAAGACGTCCTGAGTATTCAGTCCCCCGTTCTGGCCCCAAGGTGGAGAACTTCATCTCCGCCAACAGCCAGTCGTGGCATGTTTCCTCGCAAGCTGGGCAAGCACCGCTAGCCACAGTGGTGCAGCTTCGCATGAGCTCAATGGCATTGTGAGGATGTGGTGGGGATCGTAAGATTACGAGAGTGACGAGTCGTCTGCTATTTAGTGACTCCTGCACTGAGCGCAAGCGGACATGTGACAGATCGATGGATTGAAGACAGCGCAGCTGTGGAGCTCCGGAACATGCCGCCTGAGGTCCCTAAATTAAGCCTTGAGTTTGTCTTGCGCTCATTTGGCCCGAGGACCAGCGACGAGTCATCAACGGTGGCACGCTAGTCGCCGCCTGATTTCAGGCTTTGGCGATGTTGCCTGCCCGTCTCCGCAGCTGGCGACGGGCGATGACTCAGGTGAGCTGCCGTGATGCAGTTGGCGTGATGAGGTCGCGGGTTCGGCAGGTCCCTGATGCAATTTTGTTGCGTGGATTCGCCACTGCAATTTCTCTGAAGGTTGCGTTACATGTAGACGTAGATCCCTTCGTGTCACGCGGTGGTTCTTGGCACAGGTAATCTTTGGGCGTTTCTTTCGCAGAGCCTCGGCAGTAAGTGGTCTCCAGTAGTCGTCCGATGTGAGGCCAAAGAAAAAGAAGCGATTCTGTCGGCTGCAGCCTCAGTTCGATCCAGGCTGCAACTGCCGGTGAAGATTCCGGAGGGTTCACAGCTTGTGGCAAAGTCAAGTGGCATTATGCTGCAACAGATGTCTCAGGGGGCTCACCTGGCTGAGAATGCAAGCGTCAAAGCCCAAGAAGAGCTGCGGGCCTTCTGCTTTGAGCCGACTCTTCATACTCTTCTCTTGATTGTCGTTTGTGCTTCAGGGGTAGTCTTGCCAGATACGCCCAGCCATCCAGCGCACTTTCCTGCACGACCAGCCATGAGCAGCATGTACTTGTAGTAGCACCAGGGAATGTTTGACCAAGGGTGATGTCGAAGCATCGAAAGATCGGCGGCTTCTCCGCGCTATCCAGATAGTACCCGACCCGAATATCTGCAGGAAGAGTGAGGTGATGTGGTTACGAGGAAGCTCAGCCATAGGTGAAATGTGACTGTCCTGGGCAAGCCTGGACCGTGAACAACATTACCGTGAATAAGATTATCGCCAAGCAAACCCGCCTCGGCAGATGTTCGGACAAGAGTCGAGGCTTGAAAAGGCACTTGATGACAAAGGGGTCCTGGAAGCTGCCCCGACCCCGGAAGGACATGCAAGGACCCGACAAACGACGGAGCAAGGACACCCAACACCAGACTTGGTGGGAGGGGGAAGGTTCTACCGCGGAAATCAGCTGAAACGCCGATCGCATTTGGTAGCGTTGGTGTTTGGGAGAGGGATTAGTGATTAGAAGGTTGGTTACTACGACTTGGTTCCCTGGGCGAGCGCACCAAGAGAAGGCCCAAGGCCTCGGCGAACAAAACACTCCAGAGTGAAGAAAGCATGGCGCAGTCTCGGCACCTCAGGCAGCGTGCGTTCACAGCCGCTTCGATACTGTATCGTGCAGACATTAAGTGCCGGAGACGGCGCTATCGGAGGGAACAGGGCCGGGCTGACGGTTCAAGGTGTTTCATTCCTGGACAGTGGATTCTGACCGGGAGTATATGTGGGCTCCCCTTGGTCTTCAGCCGCAGCTTATGCCACTACAGACTATATGATTCAGCTCAGATCAGCTCCAATCCTCCAGCGTGAATTTGGAATTTTCCGAACCGCAGTGCATTGCAGCCCAGAGCTGCTTTGGGAGGCCGCCTTTCGCCAACCCCTCACATGGTAGTCTGCCTGAAAAGCGCTGTGGCAGGTGCAGCCAGCCCCCAAAGTGCACTGAGCTGTGCTTCACCTAAACGCTTGACATGCGGGTGGAGGCACCTATCGTGGAAAGGGGTAGCAAAGCGATCGAAGCTTGTTGCCCCAGGTTTCAGCCCCCGCAGCCAAAATTTGAGCGGACGATACTTCTAAAGCTCTAAACTTTTGCACAAAGTACAGTAAGCATCTCGGCTCTACGCTTTGCTGCCCGCTAGTTCAGGGTGGCTGGGGCTCTGTGTTTTGTCTGTTTGTTTGGGGGTGCCTTTTGGGCCGGCCTTGGTTCGGGGACTGCATGCCATGGCAAGTGCCATGGCTTTGGAAATTGCTGCTCTGCATGGCTGCAACAAGATCCCACGGCAATGGAGCATGCAAGAGGACGCATTGCACAAACATGTTTATTATACTTCTTTGGGAATGCTGCTACAGGTATGGAGGACTGGGTTTCAGCTGTCCCAGGGTTCCAG